GACCTCTTCTTCAGGGTCAGTCCTCCTCCTCTTCCTCATCTCTTTAGCTAAACATGCTAGCTATCATGTTAGCTTTGACCCACCGTAACGTCTGCTGGGTGCTCTGTTTGTTTCCAGATGGAGGAGATTGAATATTCGTGTGAAAAGTGCAGCGGGAAATCTGCAACGGTTACTCACAAGTTCAGCAAACTGCCCAGGTACCACAGAATCCAGAACCGGCGATGTGTATTACTGGACCGGATGTCATGTGACTGCTGTATGCACATGTTGCTATGCACTGAATCACACAACGAATCTGAAAAAGGGACGCCATGTTTTACGATTGTCAGCACTACAGAAACTAGATAACAAGGCTCAATGTGTAACTTTTAACAGGTCAGTAAAAAGATTAAATTAGCTAATCAACCAGCGCTGTGTTCAGATGATCACTTATTGATCACAAAACAAACATCAACCCTGAAAACATAAAACTAACAGTCTGAGTGTTCTGATCTTTGTGGGAAATGTTTGCATGTTTTTTTGGTGTTTGATACATTTCAACGTAATTTCTTCTCTGTCGGCTTGTGGAGCTGTTGTCAGTCGGTTGCCATGGTAACAGGTGTGTAGTAGTGGCGGCTGCTGGTGTGCATCACTAGCTATAGTAGCTAACGGGCGCTAGCTGCAGCGGCTAACGGGTGCTAGCTGCAGCGGCTAACGGGCGCTAGCTGCAGCGGCTAACGGGCGCTAGCTGCAGCGGCTAACGGGCGGGGTCCTGTCCAGTGATGTATCGCTGTCTGACCCGGCCCAGTGAAGGAGCTGAACAGAACCATCTGACCGTGTCTTCCTCTCAGAGTCCTCATCCTCCACCTGAAGAGGTACAGCTTCAACGCCCAGCTGTCCCTGAACAGCAAGCTGGGCCAGCAGGTTCTGATCCCGCGGTACCTGACACTGCTGTCCCACTGCACCGACGGAACCCGGCCCCCCGTCAGCCTGAGCTGGACCCCCCAACCCGCCACGTACGGCCCGCTGCACGCCGCTTCACCTCCACTTCCTGTTTCACCAGCTGATGATGTTTCTGCTCCGTTCCTAAAGGTCCAGAACCCTGAAAACGTCGCAGTCGATCAACTCCTCCACGACTCCTCAGAGGTGAGTTTCACCAGAACCAGAACCAGAACCTGAGGTCCAGGGATGTACTAACTTATCTCAGGATTTCAAAGGGTTAAAACTGATTTAGTGATTCCTCAGGAAATCAGATTATTACATCAACCAATAAAACAAAGTGGCTCTACAGAGCAGAACCTCCAGGTTCCTGGTCTGCTGATGAAGGTTCTGTTTCTTTTCAGAATCTGGTATCTTGATTTTTACCTTCATCGTTAAACTTTGGACCTCTGAGCACCAGCCCGGTTCTGGTTCTACTACTATACTAGAACACTTTCTGAATATTCTAGTTTTCTGATTCACTGGATTTTGACTTTCCATTCTCTGTTCTCTATAATCATTAAAATTATATCAAATAAGTGTTTGGAATGTTTCACTTCATGTGTGATTGAGTTTGGCTGCTGAAGCGATGAGTTTTAAAGGTTTCTGTGATGTTTGTGCAGGAGGGTTGGAGGGAAATCCTCCAGCTGCAGCTCCGTCCTGCTGGACTCGGACTACGAAGACGAACCCACCAGGAAGGTGAACGTGAGCCGCAGGCGGCGCCTGAGCGTCTGCCTGCCTGAAGAGGACGACCGTCCAGAGGAGGTCAGGTCCAGCTCGGCGCTGCTCGTCTCGCCCTCTTCGTCTGGTCGTGTCGTTTTGAAGTTTGATGTATTTTCAGAAGCCGGCAGCGGCGGCGATGGATTCCACAGAATTCGGTGGCATAAATGATGACGAGATGTTAGCCGCCGTGCTGGAGATGAGCCGAGAGGAAGCCGGGCTTCCTGCCGCGGCGCCGCTGGAGGACGAGCCGACCAGCAGCCCTGATACCGGGTTCGGAGACTCGGACGTTCACGACCTGGCTTATCACACGGAGCTGCTGGAAACGGACAGCAAGCAGCCTGCAGGTGGCGCTAGCTTTAATGCAGCAGGTTCTGCTTTAAAGGGGCAGCATCATGTAAAATCCACGTTTTGATCTTTCCATCATGTTCTATTTTTCTCTTATCACAAACAAACCTGGAGAGTTGCTTTGATTCTTTAACGTATGTTTGAGAAAGTTTTTAATCTCCATGACAACCGTTGATCTAGGCAAAACGCCTGGGTGGCCATAGCCCCGCCCTCGAGGCGCAGCTCCTCCCCCTCTCAACTCCTTCAGACTAGCCAGCAGCAATTAGCAAACAGCTGGTGGATTTGCTCAAAGCAGAATTTGTTTTAAGTCGTGTTTGATAAGAACATCATTTTTATTCAACTCATTTCAACACGGTTAGTTGATTGTGCTTTGAAACGGCAACATGCGCCTGGAAAACATCAAACTGCCCCTTTAAAGAGCCAAGTCAGTCTGATGATGTCATTCAGTGTCAAACCAGTAAGAAACGAACTGGAGTAAAAGTTGTTTTTGGCCCAGACCAGCAGAACTTCACCCTGACATGTTTGGGTTTGTCTCTGCATATTCTGGTGCCGTTCAGACGTCCTGGACTCTCTGGATCTGACCATGGATGAGAACAAGGAGAACCAGACCCCGGAGGGCGTGCAGCCGCAGGGCGAGCTGGACTGGGTCCAGCAGTACAACCTGGACCAGGAGCGGGAGGAGCAGGAGCTGCAGCAGGCGCTGGCCCAGAGCCTGCAGGAACACGTAAGACCAGAACCGCCGCCCGACTCGGGCTGGACCCCAACAGCACAAAACGCTGTGCAGCAAAACTTTTCCTTTGTGCCGCTGTCAATAAATAAATATGAATAAATATTAAAGACGTTACAGAGATCGTCGGTGTCTTCAAAGCAGAAGCAGCACAAACAAAAAGATTTGCTGCCTTCTTCAAGTCTAACAAAAACAGTTTTGTTAGACTTGAAGAATTTGGGGGTCAGCTTCACTCAGGTGACCCGCCTGGTGCCGGTTCTGACCCGCTCTGAACCCGGCCGTTCTCCTGCAGGAAGCCCAGGAGATGAGGGAAGACGACGACCTGAAGAGAGCCACTGAGCTCAGCCTCCAAGGTAGGCAGAGCGTCTGTCCACCTGTCCGCCTGTCCGCTGCGCTCAGAGGAACTGCAGCGTTTCTGTCGCCCTACAGAGTTCAACAACTCGCTGCCGGAGCTGCTGGGTTCGGACGACGACTCCGGGAACGAGGACGTCCTGGACATGGAGTACACTGAAGCCGAGGCGGAGACGCTGAAGAGGAACGCCGAGGTAACGGGCGTCCGGCCGTCCTGGAAATCTGCCTGAAATCTGAAATACTGAGCGTTTCGTCTCCGATCCGCAGGCCGGAGAGCTGGCCAACTCCTACAGACTCATCAGCGTCGTCAGCCACATCGGGAGCAGCTCTTCCTCTGGTGCGCTCCTCTTCCTCCTCCTCCTCCCTGTTTTCACCGCTGCTCCTCTATTAAAGCCGGTTCTGATCTCATCCCAGGACATTACATCAGCGACGTCTACGACATGAAGAAGCAGTCGTGGTTGACCTACAACGACCTGGACGTGTCGCGCACGCAGGAGGCCGCCGTCCAGCGGGACCGCGACCGCAGCGGATACATCTTCTTCTACATGCACAAGTGGGTTTCCAGTCCACCGGGTCAGTGGGCCCCTTTATCTGCTGGAGGAATGCACATTGTATTAAAAACAATCTTTGATATTTAAAGCATTTTGATAACATCTGAAGGTCACAGTGACCTGATAGTGGTGTAAAACCTGCTGCCCCTTTAACAGCGGGCAAAACGTTTAGTTTAAATTCACCAAACTTAATTACTCAAAGTGAGAAATTTGGAAAACATAAAAGTCATGTGAAGATAACAGGTTGAGAAACTGAAAACGGTCCAAAGGCTTCAGAACCCTGGAGTCCAGCTGGACCGGGGCCTGGAGTCCAGCTGGACCGGGACCTGGAGGCTCCGTCACCGACCCAAACCCTCCAGCTGCTCCTCCGTCAGCCGGGCTGATCGGAGGCCGTCTGTCTGTTTCAGGGATGTTTTCGAGCAGCTGTCGGAGGTGGAGCGGTCCGGATCCAGCAGCGCCTCTGAAGCAGGAAGGAACGTCCTGCAGCCGCTCTGAGCTCTGCACATCCTGCTGGTTCCTGCTAGGTGGCGCTGTCCTCCGTTTGTTCCTCTACTCGGACGGCGAAGTGTCACGACTCAAACATTCAGCGGATCAAACTTTGCCTCCATGTCTGAGGCCATTTTGTTTTTTTCTTGTTTTTTGTTGTTGTCCTGGTTTCAGCAGAGCTGCTGGTTCTGGTTCTATGTTTGCAGATCTTTAGTTCTCTACTCAATAAAGAAATTCTATGTTTGAGTAAATCTGTGGCAGAGCTAGAGGCTTGCTGTGTTTAGCGGGTCCGTTTGGTGCAATACGTAGGTTCTGGCTCGGAGCGGCTGGGTCGGATGCTTTCCGTTGCTTTTGTGCTGCTTTGTGTTCAGTTCTGTCCGTTAGTTACTGAGCTCCTGAGTTGGACTCGGCATTACTGGGTTTTGAACTTGTGCCTCCTAAGAGAACTTTTCTAAACGTGTTTATGAGCTTTATTTTGACAGCTTTGTTTGGTTTTGGATGTTTGGACCTTCGTTTGTATAAAGCTAGCAGATGGTTCTGGTGTTTGCAGCGTAGCGGCCCGTCGGCCCAGGAGAAACTGTTGCTGTATTTATCTAGAGGAGAATCCTTGTTTATAGTTTTTAATCCACTGTAAAATGAAACAAGTCGGTCATAATTTACCCGCATAAGATGATTTCTTTTTAATATGATCAGTTTGGGCAGAGCTGAAGTCCAGCCGGACTTCCTGCCGCCTGAGTGAAACCTTGAGCGTCAAGAGGCTCAAATGTATTTATGCAGTGAGAGTGGGAAGCTTTTCTACCCTTCATACTCGACTGATTCTTCCTGAAAGCAGATTTTAATAAAATTATAGTCAAAACAAACTGGATTAGTTCTTTTTTTAAATAACTTTCAGTTTTTGTTTTGCTGTAAATGTCCTTCCAGCAGTCGGTGTTTTTACATAGAAACCATTAAACTTCAGCAGTGGGTTGAATTGGTGCAAAACATTCAGCGCGGCGCCGATCCGCGGCCGTCACGTTTCAGGGCTGAACGCCTTCATGAGCGGCTCAAGATGGCGGCCGGTCAGTCTGTTGTATTCGCTCAGGATGTATCGCTCCCTCTGCAGCATCTGCAACAAAACATTGATGACCTTCAGCAGGCGGATCCATGCATTTACTGGTAAAATGTTAAAATGGTTAAAACATTTTGGACATGAAACTTAAAAGATCCAGGAAAGAACAGATTCTTCACCTGAATGTTTCCGTCATGGATCACAGGAGGCAACACCTTCCTTAAACTGCTTCCTTTTCCTGACATTTCTCTGTTTTAGTTTCAAACCGTTATGGGTAACCATGGTAACTAGATATTGTTTTTACCATTCAGAGCAGCTCATTACCATTTCAAGAAACAGCTGAACTTTGACCCCAAACCCAGACGAGTTGAAAAGGATTCAGAGAGGAGGAGGACGTTGAGTCCATCTCTCCATCCCCTACTCCAGCATCTCTGCAACCAGACAGACTTTAAACATCTGCTGGTCTCATCCAGCGAGCCGTTAGCACGAGGCTTCAGTCAGAGGCCTCTTCACATTTGTTGCAAGACTGACTGCTACTGGAGATCCTTCCTGCCCCCTGCGTCATTCACAGCGACTTTGAAGATAAGTTATGACAATATTTAACTTCTTTTTGGAATAAAGTACTTTTGAATTGAACAAAAATGATATGGATCAAAGTTTGAATGCAACTCTGAGCTGAACAGAACCGTCTGTTCTGATCAGGAGTGATTATAGCGATCAATAAGGCTGGAAACAAAATGGCCGCCTGTCGGTGAAACCTGGCGTTGCGGTTAAAGCTGCGGACTCACCTCGGCCCATTCCTCCTCCGTCTCATGCCGGTAGCCCAGCAGGTGGCAGATACCGTGAGCAGTGACCGCCTGCAGGAGCAGCAGAGTATTGGTGTCTTACAGATAAAAGAAAAATGGCTGAGAACATTTCTAGATTCACTTCACATAATTACAAGGAAAAATATTTTCTGTCAAAATCTAAATGTGCAAGAAAAAATTTTCTCTGATCAACAGCTTAAATAGAATTATTTAACATGTCAGAAATTCAGAAGAAAAAAATTTGGAATTTCACTAAAATATAAATTTGTGCATTTGGAAAGGGAAACGCCAAAAGTCCTCTCGCATCTGGATATTTTCCAGTGTAGTTGGTAAATCCAGGCTGTTTTCCTGCAGCAGAGCCAAATCTTCCAGGTCCAGATTGACCTTTCACCTTGAACCGGATCCAGAAAACACCTGAGACTGAGAGGAGGAAGCTGCAGAAATCTGAACCCGAGAAATGTTCTGATCCAGGAGAAAAATCCGGATCTACGGCTTCCAGTTTGGAAAATATCCAGACGCTGGTCTCATAGATTTACCACTTCAGTCTTAAAGACTTCTGTTGTTTGTCGCAAATGTCTGACTTTATAAGCTCCATAAATTTGACAGAAAATTCCAGTTTTTTTCTTGTAAATATGGAAAATTATTTTCTCAGTTTATTGGTGTAAATTTGCTCTTAAATAATTTTTTCAGCAGTGAGAGCCTGTGATCAGCTGAACATATGAGTCAATAGAAAACACTGGTAACTCACAGTAAGAGTACCATGAAGGTCTAGTGATTCTTTTTGGCACTGATTCATCACAAACTCGACCCCCAGGAAGATGTCTCCCAGGTTCAGCTCATCTCTGTGCAGCGGACAGGGCAGCTTACCGGGCCTCAGGTCCTGGAAGAACAGAGATGGAAATAACTTCACCTGAAAGCTACGGAAAACCTTAACATGGCACTTGAGTTGGTTCGTCCTTTCATAATTTTGACTTTCAAAGACATGATTGACAGAAAATGTCACATCATTTCTCTAAGGAGTATTGCTGTGGTATCACATAATCGTAACTTTAAAAAAAAAGTCTTTAAAGCTAGAAATTATAACTTCTAGTAAGGCTTTTATATTTTATTTTAAGGCAGAAATGGGCTTCCATATGATGCAGATATGGAAATAAGATTTTTGTCTAGTTTTCCTACAGTGTGTTTCAACTCAGTATCATATTCTGTCAGCTCACAACCAAAAAATCTGAGGTTGCACAAAAAATACACTAATTTTTATGTATTTGTATTAAAGGGTTATACTTTGTGTTGTCATATTAGAATATGGCTGTGTGCCCCCGGGCCCCTCCTTTGGGAGCGCCACTGATTTCAGGCGCTATTTTTTTCTTTCAATCCCGTTAATTTAAGCTTCCATATCTCTGGAATAAAACACCGCACACACATTAACTTTCCCCTCTGTGGTCGCTAGAAGGTTCTGCCACTCTTGGTTCAACAAAGTTTGCGATACGACTTTGAGTTTTAAACACAGCGACTGTTTTAAGGTTTTAACGGCCGTTGCTGCTCCATCGTCCCTCTTTCCAGAAAATGCGGGAATCGGCAACCGAAGACTCCGCTTTTTTCGAAGTCTCACACAGGAAGTTAGCTAAAAATTTCAGAATAAAAACAAATCAAAATAAAAACTTTGGTTCTGTCATATATTATTGTTAATATAATTTTAAAGTTAATTCCAAATTAGATAGACTTTGTTTGACAGTAACTCCATCGGTAATATTACTGCTGTACATTTAACAGTCACATTAACAACTAACGGAATCGGTTACCTCATAAAACGGGAAGGACAGGACATCTGTCGGCGCGTTTTTCTTCCTGTAAAGGTTGTTGATCTGCTGAATCCTGCGGTTGTCCACGCAGATGATGCCCAGGTCGAACTTCTGGATGCCCAGGATGTGTCTCAGCGTGTCCACGTCCCTGCGCAGCCTGGCGCGGCGGAGAGGAACCACCTTCTGCAGGTTCCGCAGGACCACTCCCATTTTGAACCGAGTGGGAGATGGACGCGACGCGGAACCTCACGGCATGGACGAACCCGAACCGAGCCTTTAGCTGCTGATAGGAACTAACACTGAGCCTCTCAGTAAAGGAGGACAGCCTCATTCAGATTCAGTCATTCAGAACACAATTCAAGGTGACACCATGAAGCCGGTTCTGAAGTTGGCTTCTGACTTACAACTTCCGGTTTGACACTTGATTAAAGGGCTGGTTCAACATTTTCCTCAATTCAGAATCCAAATGCTGACAATATTTAGTCTTAAAATGCAATTCATTAAATGTAACAGTATTTTTACATTTAACGTTCCTTTGAGCTATACATGCCAACCTTTGCGCCACCTGGTAGTTAATTATCAGTTGAATTTGTTTGTATTTAAGTTTCATACGAGTCGTTAGAAGATACATTTGTTTACATTTAAGCTCTATATGAGCTGAGAGATTCGACTAATGATTAACTCCACACAGAGAGAGAGAAATGTAAAAATTGAAGATAAATAGAAGAAATACTCAAGAGAAACGATAGAGAAGAAGAGAGTAAGACCATCCATCCATTTTCTATCACCCTTGTCCAGTGGCGCAACTGCACATTATTCAGGTGGATGCGAAGACATAAATCGCCTCCCCCACGAGGCGAGGATACGTTAAGGGTGAAACTCGCGCTAGATTTACCTCATTATGTGCGTGAGGTGAAGGAGCGTAAGGCGCGCTGAAGTGTATGGGAATACATAATCGGCCCCCTCCAGACGGGGTTTTGGCGCCCCCTCTGGTGCTGCGCCCCTATGCGTTGCATGCGCTGCATACCCACTTTTTGTGCCACTGCCCTTGTCCCTAGTGCTGGTGCCTGAGAGTAAGACTGATGAGGATTATCCCCTCCTGACGTCAGCTCTGGAGGTCTTTCTAGTTTATAAGATTATTTTCTGTGATTAATCGTTAACAGTTAGCTATAAAGTACAATAATTAATTTTGATATGTTGTTGTCGTTTTCTTTCGCAGTTCTCACCGGTTGTCCACACCAGAATAAACCCTGTTTTATGGTCCTTAACTATGGAACCTTTTATTTTATTTTTTACACAATAAATGGTGGGTTTTAAACTTTAGCATTTGTATTTATCAGACCAGTAATGATGTTTTACCATGGTGTTGTAGATTGATCTAGTTCAGTTTGAATAAATTCAAGAATTTACATGGCAAATATTTTCAAGCAAAACAGGTCAAGAGGTAATAAAAGCAGTAAAGCTCTCATTTTTAAATGTTCACAAGTTAAAGGTTCAAATTGTATTTTGAGGAATCTGTGCCTAAAATGGCATAAAGTTCAGGTTTGACCCATCTAAATATTTTGGTTTTCATTATAAGACTTTAGGACTTCAGGCATAAAAAACATTTAAATTGCATATTTTTAAATGTTTGAGTACATTTATTAGATAATTCAATAAACTATTCTACAGAATCTTAGATTTCTACAGAAATTAGAATAAATTATACAAGATCTGACAGACTTCAGTAGTACAGAGTTAAAACTGATTTGCGTTGGTTATTATTTCCAAATGAGATTATGAATCTGAAGCAAACTTCAGAGTGATAAACTTGCTTACATGTTAAATAAAAATAACACAACAATTGTCTTCATTTTTTGATAGAAAGCACACACTGTTCACATTGTGGGACAATACAAATATTTCTGTTATATTCTATTCTTTGCTGTTTTAGCTCGAGAGTCACGGAACTGAGTATAGGGTTGTTCGGGACTAAAAACTTTGTCGGACCGAAGCCGGAAGTGTGAAGTTTTTTGAGCGGACCCTGAACGAAAACACAATAAACCCGAGTAAAATTATGGATCGTTTTTATTTCAAGCTTGTATATATTGGGTATATATGAAATGTAAGACTTTGTTTCGTATTTAGGTACCTGGAGTAGCGGGAGAAATGAACATCTGGGGCATTTTTTTATTGATTTTTGTGAGAGTTAGCCGATGCTAACTGCAGAGCTACAAACTGTTGTTCAGATCGGACCAGTTGGATCCGGTTACATCCCATAAAGTTGCTTATCTGTGCCATGAATCCGTTTGGAAGTCCGCAGGGAGGAGCTTTCCAGGCCCCCAGCAGCTCCATGAAGCCCAGTCTGTTCCAGGGCTTCGGGCAGCAGAATCCCAGCGGATCCCAAGGACAAAGTTTTCTCCACCCTCCTGCCTTCGGACAGCAGTCTGCTGCGCTTCAGCCTGCAGTGCAGAGCGGTTCCATTTTCGGACAACGATCTGTGGTGAACCAGCCTGCCCCTCAGGGTGGCTCCATCTTCGGGCAGCCGTCTGTTAGTCAGCCCGGAGGTCAGGGTGGTTACATCTTCGGACAGGCATCCAATCAGCCTGCAGCTCAGAGTAGGTCCATCTTCGGACAGTCATCAAATCAGTCTCCAGCTCAAGGTAATTCCATCTTCGGACAGCCATCAAATCAGTCTCCAGCTCAAGGTAATTCCATCTTCGGACAGCCATCAAATCAGTCTACAGCGCAAAGTGGTTCCATCTTCGGACAGTCATCTGCGGTGAATCAGCCATCAGCTCAGAGTGGGTCCGTTTTCGGACAGCTCTCTGTTGTTAATCAACCTTCAGGGCAGAGTGGTTCCATCTTCGGACAGGCATCCACGGTAAATCAGCCTTCGGCTCAAAATGGATCAATTTTCGGACAGACATCTGTTGTTAATCAGCCCGGCGCTCAGAGTGGTTCCATATTCGGACAGCCACTAGCAACAAATCAGCCTGCAGCTCAGGCTGGTTCTGTTTTCGGACAGCAGTCTGTTAATCAACCTGGAGCTCAGAGTGGTTCCATTTTCGGACAGCCCCCCCAGCCCCAGCCTCCTATGAGCAAGGCTCCAGCCTTTGGGCAGCCTCCTGTGGGAACCAGCAGCTCAGCTGCGGCTTTCGGACTCAACCAGAGCTCTGTGTTTGGACAGAGCCCCTCCTTCGTCCAGCCCTCTGCGTTCGGTCAGCATTCAGGTTTGGGAAAGGCCCCTCCTGCTTTCGGGAGCCCTCTCAAGCCGTCGGGCTCCACCGCCTCCAACCCCTCGTTTGTGCAGCCGGCCTCCAGCGTGTTCAGCGCTGCTCAGAATGTGAACCAGAACCGGGGCTTTGGGCCTCCAGAGTTCAGCTTCAAGCCGCCCAACGAGGCCGTGTTCAAACCCATCTTCAGCGGCAGCCCGGAGCCGTCTAGCAGCCGGGGCCCGGCCCCCTCCGGCCCCTCTACCGGCTTCTCCCTGCTGGCCGGAGCCAAGCCTCTGGTCTTCAGCTGCTTCCCCCAGCCGGCCGCACCCCCCGCCGGCCCAAACCCGCCATCAGGCGGTGGCAGCAGCGGCCCTCGGTTCTCCTTCACCAACCCGGCGGCCCCGCAGGGCCCCGGCTCCACGGCGGAGCCCACCACCCCGTCCTCCTTCAGCTTCACCTCCAGCTCCCTGCAGACCCAGCCCACGCTGTTCTCCTCGTTCAGCCGCCCCCCCGCCTTTGGCGACCCTAAACCCGAGTTGGGCCCTGAAGATAAGGAGGCCCCGGAGCCCAACGTGTTCGCTCGGATCAGCAAAGCAGCCAAGAGGAAGGATGATCCGGCCGCCAGTGGCCCCGAGAAGCCAGGCGGCGAGGACGACGCCCCCGCGCTGCCGGACGTCGACTCACCCCGACACCCCGCCAAGAGGCCGGTGGTGAGGGCCCGGGGCCCCGCAGGGGGCCTGTTTAGCCGGGCCCTGAGTGGGATTCGGAAGGAGCAGAGCAACCCGGTGAGGAGAGAGGCCCCGAAGGAGCCGCCGAGGCCCCCTGCCGCTCTGGGGGCCCCCGCTATGGGGCCAGCAGGTCTGGGGCCCCCTGCTGCGGGGCCAGCAGGTCTGGGGCCCCCTGCTGCGGGGCCCGCTGAGAGGCCGGCCCTGGAGGAGCCGGAGGAAGCTCAGGGAGAAGAACCGCCGGCGCTGAGCAGAGACTCTGCAGAGAAACCAGAAGATTCAGGTCAGAATATTAATATTTAATAAAAATGACAGAACGGATCAATATGTGATGGGAGGGATCAATACATGATGGGAGGGATCAATATGTCTGCCACAACACCACCAGGGTTTCCCCCAGGGCATCATAAGCCTGGCGGGCCACCAGGCTAAACATTACTTATTTATTTAAGTTTTTAAAAAATGTTTACTTTTTTTAAGACTTTGTAATTATCGGTGATTTCCTGTAAACTTCAAACATTTTTTTAGATCAAAAACACGACAGACTGATGGATGAATGAATGAATGAATGAATGAATGAACGAATGAACGAATGCCCTAGCGCCCAATGAGCAACAATACAAACAACATTATTATTATTATTATTATTATTATGTTATTTAGACAAAGATTAAACCACTCCTTTCTTTCTTTCTTTCTTTCTTTCTTTCTTTCTTTCTTTCTTTCTTTTTTTCTTTCTTTCTTTCTTTCTTTCTTTCTTTCTTTCTTTTTTTCTGCTCCTCTGTCTCCTCCTGGCTTTACCTCCTGTGGTCTAGTTAAAACAAAAATGTCTTCCTGTGGGATTAGTTACCGTCTCCCTCCTCTGCAGGCCCGCCTGACCCTTTGACCTCAGCCTCCGAGGCGTTGACCCCTGTGGGCCGTGGGCCCCGCAGGGACAGCGCGGACAGCCTGAGCGGAGTGTCTCCCAGCGATCTGACCACCATCATGGTCAGGAACGTCCCGCCAAGCCTCAACAAGAAGGATGTGATCCAGAAGCATTTCGCTCGTTTTGGGAAAGTCTGTAAAATCTTCTGCCGCCCCAACAAGAACCTGGCCGTGGTTCACTTCCACGACCACGTGAGTCGCTCTTCACTTCGTCTCCAGCTGCTTTTGTTTGACTCGAACATCTGGGGTCAGACGGTTTCATCCTCCTGGCATGAATGTGGAACCGGTTTTTAATTAGGACTGAAATGATTAATCGATTATTGAAATAATAATCTAGTCATTGATTAATTGTTAGCTGACTCTAAAAATGTCCAGCTTCTAAATGAAGCCAAAACAGGAAGTATAAACTCAGTCGTGTGCTGTTGATGTTCCTCAGACGCATCCTGTGCTACAGATCATCAGGCGTTCACTAAAGGGTTATGTTTTTATATTCTAGGAAATAAAATGTTTATTATTTAAGAGTTTAACTTTTTGATTAGTTGCATGTCTTATATATTTCTAATGTTGCATGAAAAAAGCTGAAATGGTTAAATAAAAACCTGCAGAATGTGCCAGTTATTTCTTCAGATTAATCATCAGAACAATTGATTAATCGATTACTCTGACGATTAGTCGATACAATAATCAGTTTGATAAATTGTAAGACTAATTTATTTAATAGAATAATTGATTAATCTGATGATTAATTGATCAAATAATTGATTTTTTTCTGGAGATTAATCTACTGACTAATTGATTAGTCTGATGATTAATCAATAGAAGAATCAATAGTTGTTACTCTTAATGATTTATTTTAAACCTTCTTTGTAAAGATCTAACTGGTTCTGTTGGGAGAGGGAACAGGAAGCTGCTCGGTGCTGCAGCCTGGTGGTGAAGACACGCCATGGCAGCCATGCAGCTCTTCTCTCATCCTGTTTTGTCTTCAAGGCTTCGGCTGCTAAAGCGAAGCGGGGAGGGAAGCATCTGCACCGACACGAGCTGCTGCTGCTCTGGCAGAAGAAGAAACAAAGTAAGCAGCTTATTGATCTGCCAACCAGAAGAACTACAGTGTTTAACAGCTTAAAGTCCATTTCATCATCCGTTTTGGTTTATATGTAGGTTGTTAAAATTCTTAAGTTTTTTGACATTAATTCATCCAGTCTGACTGAGGCAGGTCAGATTTACTCAACAAACTGTCTGTTAATTCATCCTTTTAACTTTGAGCTCAATTTCAACGATTTAAAATATTAACTTGATGGTTCGTTTTGATTGGAGGATGGATTGAGGTCATTCAGACATCAGGTTGTTGTTATTTATTTGAATAAAAGTCGGTTTATGGAGACATTTTGTCTCCTTCAGGTCCTGGAGACAAAGGCAGCAGAGCGGCAGCAGAACCGGACCGATCCGCAGCAGAAAGCCCCAACGTGGAGGAGCCGAAGCCGGGTTGTTCTCCTCTCAGACGGCCGGCCCTGATGCCTCCGGCGCAGGGCGGCCACGCCTCCTTCAGGCAGAGGTAGGTCCGTCTGAACGGATCAGAACCGGTTCTGTCCGGGTTCGGCTGCAGCTCTGCGTCTCGTCTCCTGCAGCTCTCCGGTGAGGAGGCCGTCTCCAGCCAAGCTGCTGCCGTTTGACTCGGAGCCCCAGAAGGAGAACGTGACCGAGTCCCAGGAGCGTCTCATCCCGTCCTCCCTGGTCCACCTGGTGGGACAGGCCGCCGAGACCGCCGAGGACAAGTACCGTCTCCTGGAGCAGAGAGACAAAGTCCTGCGTCAAGGTGAGGACGATGTCCGCCTGCTGCAGCTGCAGCTGCGTCTGAAAGCCTGACAGTCGGGTCCTGTTGTCCCTCAGGACGGCCCAAGAGGACAGACCTGGACCTGTCCAAGGCGTTTGTGGGGACGTGTCCTGACATGTGTCCAGAGAAGGAGAGGTACATGAGAGAGACACGGAACCAGCTCAGCGTGTACGAGGTGGTCCCGAACACGGAGGTGGTAAGAACCGGAACGTTCTGGAATATTTGAACCCACATCATGATGCTGCTCCTGCCGGCTTCTGATCCAGTCTGAACTGATCCAAATCGCTTCTGATCGTCTCTTGAAGATTCAGGAGATGCTTCAGTGAAGAACTTTGTCTCTTTCTCTTAAACATTTGTTTCCAGACTCAGCTAGTCGTGTTTAGCAATAGAAATGTTTGAGTTTGTTGAGTCCAGACGTGGAGGACCTTCCTGTGAAAACCTTCAACCAGAAGGAACTGGTCTGTCCTGTTCCTGCCAGGTGGATCATGCAGCTGCCATAAAGGAGTACAGCCGCTCCTCGGCCGACCAGGAGGAGCCTCTTCCTCACGAGCTGCGGCCCCTCCCGGTGCTCAGCATGACCATGGACTACCTGGTGACCCAGATCATGGACCGGGGTCCGGACAGCCACAGAGACTGGTACGACTTTGTGTGGAACCGAACCCGAGGCATTCGCAAGGTAAGCGTCAGAGCGCCGGCGTCCAGCAGGTTCCCCCGTTCGGTTTGACGTTCCTGCTTTGCTCAGGACATCACCCAGCAGCGGCTCTGCTGCCCCGCCACCGTGGCGCTGATCGAGAAGTGCACCAGGTTCCACGTTCACTGCGCCCACCACCTCTGCGAGCAGCACATGTCGTCCTTCGACGCTAAGATCAACAACGAGAACATGACCAAGTGCCTGCAGAGTCTGAAGGAAATGTACGCGGATCTGGCGACGCAGCAGACGTTCTGCCCCCTGGAGGCCGAGTTCCGCCAGTACAGCGTCCTGCTGAAGCTCAACGACGGCGACATCCTGCGGTCAGTCGCTCTGAATCGGCCTGCAGCCGATATTATAATCCACCACTCTGATGATTATGACTAATCAGTTATTCTGACATTTATTAGTTAACTGATTACTGTGATCATTATTCTGATGATTAAGTTTATTAAAATATTCTGCCGGGTTTTTATTGAACCCCTTCAGTGTTTTTTACACATTATTTGAAATACATGAACATTTCATTGCCTAGACAATAACAGGGCTCCTTTACTGAACGCTTGAACTTCTGAGTCAAAGATGGATCTGCAGCTAAAATCTTTCTAACCCGAGTAGAAAATATTTACAAAGGATTTTTATCTTAAATCCATAATGTTTATAGTCCAGAGTTGGTTTAACTGAAGCTGTGTTGTTTTTTCAGCAAATTGCCTCTTTTAGTGTTTGTTAATCGATTACTAATTTAATTGATGATTTAATTAATCATAATTTATCTGATTAATCGTTTGCTAAAACACATCGATCAGAACCAGCCCCAGCTTTCCACCCGTTCTGACTGACCGTCCAGGCTGGACGCCGTCGCTCCTCACGGCGTTTTGACCACTTCCTGTCGCCACAGGGAGGTGCAGCAGTTCCGCGACGAGGTCCGGAAATCTCCAGAGGTCAAGTTTGCGGTTCAAGCCTTCACGGCCGTCAGCAGCAACAACTTTGTGCGTTTCTTCAAGCTGGTGAAAGGAGCTTCCTACCTGTCCAGCTGCCTGCTGCACCGATACTTCAACCAGGTGGGAGCAACAGGAAACGCTGCTCTCATCACTTCCTGTTTGATTCTCTGACCAGAGGACGATCAGTCAGCGCTGATTTTTGGTTTTGAATGGTCCGACGTGTCCTGAACGGTTTAAACACTGGGCTGTGGTTCTGTTTGCAGGTCCGATCGAAGGCCCTGAAGGTTCTGATCACGGCTCACACCTTCGGCACGCGATCCACGCCGTTCCCCGTCGACGACATCGTCCGCATGTTGATGTTCCGCAGCGCGTCTGAAGCGACGGACTTCGTCCAGCAGTACGGCCTCAACGTCAATGACGGGTGAGGCGCTCTGACCTTCACAGAGGCGGCCCGGGTCGGCGGCCCGGCCGTCCGGGTCGGCGGGTCTCTGGGCGGTCAGTCTTTGATGGAGGAACGTTCTGTGCGGTTCTCCTCAGGCTGGTGGAGCTGAGTCGGATGGTCTTCCAGGAGCCGGAGCTCCCGCTGTCCCTGAAGAGGTCGGAGGTCATCCTGTCCAAGAAGGCGCCGCTGATCGGGGAGGTGGTGAACGGAGGTCCGGTCCCCGACCCGCCGCAGCACCGTCCCGTCTGCAGCTTCAACTCCCATAACAGATACAGAGGAGACGGCCAGCTGGCGGAGCCCGGCCTCGGATACGTTGACCCCCGAGGCGCCGGGCCGCAGACTGGTACTTCCTGCTCACTTCCTGCTCACTTCCTGCTCACTTCCTGGTTCTGATTCCCAATATCTCAGTCAGGCGGAAGGCTGACCTATGGAACTGATTCGCTTTTTAATTTTAGTTTCATAATTTGTCTGAGTGGAAGCGACGCACCGTTTGGTCCCATCGGCTCCTGATGACCTCCTGGTTCTGATGGACTTTTTCATGGCTCGTCTTTGACATTTAGTAGTTTTTTGTTTTTTTCCTCTTCAAATAAATGTGATTTTGGGACGAAACGGGAAAAATGTGAAAACCTTCAGAAGTTTTAGACGGTTTAATTTTTTAAGCGTTTTTTCTGTTGTCTCATTATCCATGAATAATTCTGCATTAACTGAATGTTGATGTTTCAGAACGGTGATCACATGAATGTTCTCTGGTTCCAGCTGACGGCGTTGAGGTTTCCTCCCCGCCGCCGATCGTCGTTCCCGACGCTCCGGCTGAGACCGGAGAGCCGTTCCCGCCGGCGGCTCCCGTCTTCCAGCCGATCGCTCCGCCTGAACCCGCCAGACCTCCGTCACCTCCACCCAAACCCCAGCCGCTCTACGGCGAGGAGGTGGGAGGCAGCCGGCAGACTCTGCCGTCCGCCATCTTGGTTCTGTGCTGACGTTCTGCTGCGTTGTGTTCCAGGACGTCCAGGCGGCGGCCGAGGCGCTGCTGGAGGAAGTGGTGGAGGCCGAAGTCAGAGCGCTCGCTGACGGAGGCGCCAGCTACGCCAGAGCAGCCCTGCGGTAAGCCAGCGCTCAGCTTTTGGTTCTGCGCGTCAGGCGGACACTCCGCTGACCCGTGATGGCGTTCACGCAGGGAGAGCGAGGCGCAGCTGGAGGTTCTGGTGCAGGAGGTGTTGGAGCAGATGATGACGGAGGTTTCAGCGTCAGAGATCCGGCTGGAGCAGGAGCGGCTTGCTGAGGAGCGACGCAGACTGGAGGAGGCCAGGTCGGTTCCCACAATGCACTGCAGGTCTCAACCCGACCTCCATCAGGACAGGGGGACCCTGCTCTCTACGTTTTCTGCTCTGTGTCCATGTTTCTGGTTCCTCTGCGTCTCAGGCGCCGGCAGGAGCGCGAAGCCTTCCTGGTTCAGTTCAGCTGCTCGCTCTGCTCAGAGGTCGTCCAGCAGGTCGTCGCCGAAGTCGTGAGGGAAACCGCCGCCGCCGAGATCCAGTAAGACTTCCTGAAGCCGTTCCAGAAGACGGTACAGCCCCGGTTTAGTTCAGGTTTCTAGGACATCTGAAGACCAGCGGTGGTGTTTTTCTGTCCCTTCATCTTTCCAGATGATCCTTCTTGGAGTTTCTCTGGAAATGTGGACGCTCACATTAGCGTTAGCTGCTACGTGTTTAGCGCTGAGATGCTATTTTAGGCTTGAATAGCTTAGCTGATATGCTAACTCCTTTTAGCACAACTTGGTTTGTTTTTTTTACCCTTTTTAACTTTGTTTTCATCCATTTAGAACCTAAAAGATGTAAAATTTTCTTTCTGTCCTTCATAACTGATCAAGTTCTTATTAGAGGCGTCGCTCAGATTTCACTTTTCCGTGGTGTTTGTTGGATCTTTGACCCGTTTTGTTTTCCAGGGAGGCTCTGGACGAGGAGGCCGAGCGTCTGGCCCGATGCAGCCATCAGATCTGCAGCAGCTTGATCGAGGAGACGTTAGCCGCAGACGTGGCTCAGCTAGCAGAGGATGTTCTGGAGGCTGAGCTGGAACGGATCCAGAAGTTCATCAAAAGGTTAAAGCGGGTCAGAACGTCGGCGTAGAACCTGGATGAGTTTCGGCCTAGTCAAAGTTTTTGTGTGAACCTCCAGGTGGCGTGATGTGGTCGCCGTGCGCCGCCAGCTGAAGCGTCAGATGAGGAGTTTCCCTGCGGCCCCGTGCTGCGTGGATCCCTGCTTCAAGCTGCGGGCCCTGGCCCCCAGCGCCCCCCAGAGGCCCTCCATGGCGGACCTGGCCCGGGGCCTGGTGGACCTGGGGAACGCCGGCGTGTTGGCCGTGTCCAGCACCAGGTAGGTCGGTCCCGGCCCGCGGGGCGCCGCGCCGCAGGGCGGGGGCGAAGCTAAAACCTGTCTCCTGTTTGCTCAGGTTGCTGCGGATGCGGCGCGGCGCCGTCCACCAGCTGAGGGTCCAGTCCTTCTACCAGCAGCTGCTGGAGTGAGTCCGGGTCCAGTCGCTCTGAGGGGCTGGTCCTGAAGCAGAACTCTGACCCGGTTCTGGTGTTTTGCTCAGGGAGACGTGCTGGAAGCCGTTGGATCTGCCAGCGCTGGCCACGGAAAACGTCCCGAACCCGACGGACCGGATCTTCTGGAAAGTTCTGCTGCTGCTGCCCAGCGAACGGGAGGCCGGCCAGGCGGACCGGTGAGGAACGACCGGCCGGGCGGAACCGCTTAGTCTGTCAATCAGTCTGGAGATTTATCAATACTGATTAATTTATTTAATACTTATAGTTATTCTGATGATTAATCAGTTAAATTTGCATTTAATTGATTACTCTGACGATTGATTATTCAGTTCTGACCGTTATTCTGATGACTAATCGATGATTATTCTATCAGTTATTAAGATAATTAATGGATTTTTATCGATTGTTGTGACAGCAGATCAAATTTAATATTCAGTCGATTCTTCTGATCATCGGTTATTATGAATATTAATCGTTCTTGTTCCGTTTTGACAGTTATGATGTATTGATTCATCTCTCCACATATTCATTTATTGTAACATTCTTTAGAGAAAGTCTTTTAAGGCTGCAGTCCCTCAGCATAATGCTGCCACCGCCGGGTTTCAGTGTTGGGACTGAGAGCATCAGTTTTCTGGTTTTAAATAAAGAATAAAAGCCGTTTTGATTTGTGCTCAGGGTTCTGTCGGACTGGCTGGAGGTGAAACTCGGCGCCGATCCAGAGTCAGAGGAGCAGAGAGACGGGACGCTGAGGACGCTCTGCGTCTCCAACAGCCTGCAGGACAACGGACACAGAAGTCACAAAGTCCACATCACAGTGAAGGTCAGGTCAGAACCGGGAGGAGCTGAGAGGTCGAGGCCCAGTTTTGCTCTTCAGAGGTTGTAGTCCCGGTTCTCCTCAGCAGCTTTCCTTCGTCTCTCCAGGCGTCCAGAGGCCCACTGACCGACGCCGGTCTGTCCGCAGCGGAGGAGCGCGGCGAGCTGCGCGGCGCGGCGGCCATCATGATGCTGCTGCCGGCGCTGCCCCTCCTGGAGGCGGAGCAGGCGGAGCAGGACGTCCCTCTGCTCTCCGCCCTGCTGCAGCTCAAGCAGCTGCAGCAGATCAGCAGCTGGAACTGGCCGCTGCCGCTGGTGGTCCTGGTGCCATGGCAACGGGGCGCTGCGGACGCCCAGAGGCTGGAAGAAGGTGATTCCTGACCCGCCATCGCACCATCAGCCTGTCCGTCCAGTTCAGGGCTGAAACGATTAATCGTGATTAATCGATTACTGAAATTATCATCGACTAATTTAGTAATCGATAAATTGTTAATTGGAGAACAGAGACTCTAAAAAAGGCTGTTTGCTGGAAAGATGAACAAACTGAGCAGCAGTTTAAATCTGATCTAATAGCTTCACCTGGTTCACATCCTGGAAAAAGTCCTTTAAGCGCCTTTATTAATCCGTTTATCCAGAAATAATCATCAGATTATTCCTGCGCTTTGTTTTCACAGGTTGATGTTTGGAGGATTTCTAGATTTAAAAAGGATTTTATCTACTTTAGCCAATAAATGTCGATTTTCTTATTTAAAAAACACATTAAAATATTTATTTGCATCTTTTAATGTTTTTCTAATATCGTATGGAAAAAATGTTAAGCGGTTAATAAGAAACCTGTGGAATTATTTTCTGATTAATCGATTAATTAATCATCAAAATAATTGATAAATCAATGGGTAATTTGCGGTCCTGGTCTGGTTCTGGTCCGGTTCTGGTCTGGTTCTGGTCCGGTTCTGGTCTGGTTCTGGTCCGGTCCTGGACTGGATCTGGTCCGGTCCTGGTCTGGTTCTGGTCTTGTCGGGTTCTGGTCCGGTCCGGTTCTGGTCACGGTTCTGTCTGTCTCTCAGCCCTGCAGCTCCAGGCTCTGATGGAGGAAGAGTTGATCTCTGACTTCCTGCTCGTCTTCATCCCGGACTCCACCAGCGACCTGCAGGGATCCCAGCAGGTAGAGCCTAAAGCTCCTGGAGGGTTCGGACCTCCAGCTGGAGCCGTTCGGACCTCCAGCTGGAGCCTTTCGGACCTCCAGCTGGAGCCTTTCGGACCTCCAGCTGCAGCGTTTCTCCACCGGTTCTTCTCTCTCTCTGTGTCCGAGCAGCTGACCCAGGCCGTCCGCTGGCTGCTGGCCCGCTGCCCTTTGACCCCGCCCCTGTCCTGCCAGCCGCTGGTCCAGCTGGTCGAAGCCACGCTGAGCCAGGAGTTCTGCCCCAGAGTTTACTCCAACCGGCAGAACCGGGCCGCCGCCGGGCTGCCCTGCCAGGGCCCGGCGCCGGTGGTCCGGCTGTACAACGCCGTCCTGGCCCACGTGGCGGACAGAGTGTCGTCCCCGGAGCTGAGCTGCCTGTCATGGCCGCCCACCGAGTTCAGCCAGCCGGAGACCAGAGAGTTCATCCCTCACCTGGGCTGGAACGCCGCGCCGCACCTGAGCTGGCTGAGGGCCGTCCTGCTGGGCCTGCAGCTGCCGGAGTGGGAGGAGCCTCCTGCTGCAGGTGGGCGGCTGAAACCGATCATTGATTAACGTCATCAACCACTAATTCAGTCAAACTGGATTATTCAAACTCTGAGAAAGTAATCTACAGAAAAATCAGAACAGAAACTATAAAAATATAAAAGTTCTGGATTTAAGATGGAAAACCTTCTTTGTCAGGTGAACCTAAAACTTCTAGTTTTAGGTTCACCTGATCAATGATCCGTTCTCATGCAGGCGATCAGGAACGCTGACCCTAACGCTGACCCTAACGCTGACCCTAACCCGCTGCTGCTGCACTTCAGACTTTAAAATGATCACATTTATTTTTTATTTGCATTCTTATGTATTTTTAATGTCGTATAAAATAAGCTTAAATATGAAACATCTGCAGAATGTGACAGTTTTTTATTCAATTGACAGAATAATTGATAGTCTAATCGTTTACTAATGTAATGATTAGCTGCAGATGAGCATGGATGAGGTCAGAGGTCATGTTTAGGGTCACCAACTCTTCCTCCTCCTTCAGACTCCTGGGTGGATCTCTGCTCCTCCATCTTTTGTTACGCTGCTCACATCCCGACTTCACGCCACAGTCAGCCGCTCCTCATGTCCCGGCTGGAGAACCTTCTGGAGCGGGTCCGACTCACCCGGGGCGGCATCGGCCGGGGGGCGGCCGGTCTCTCTGCTGCCTCCAACCTGATTCCCTGGGACGACGTCGTCCTCATCTTCATCGACCACAAGCTGAAGGACTGGCAGCCGGCTGGACCGCCTGCTGCTCCAGGTACCACCTGCAGAACCTGCAGAACCTCCTGGAGGTTCTGCAGGTTCTGCTTCTAGACCTGACCTTCCTCTGATCTGATGAAACCATCAATAATGATAATCAGTAATCATCATCCTCATCAATAATCCTGCAGATCTTCTGAAGGTCTTTCAGAGTTTACTGGTTTTACTGGAATGTGTTTTAATGCTCCTCACCTCTGACCTTTGACCCCATTCACCTCTTCCTCCCTCTGTTGTTAAACGGACTAGAAATGAATCAGGAGTTTCATCAATAATATATTTCCTGCTCTGTTTCCCAACATAACCTCTGCTGTTGCTGCTCTGCTCCAGACGCTCTGACGGCGGACGGACAGATCCTGGTTTTCTTCCCCAGCGGTTCCCTGGACGGGTTCCGGCCTCCGGCTGAGTGGGTTCAGGCCGTGGATCGGACCCACCGGGAGACGCAGCAGGAGGAAGAGGAGGGGTGAGGAAGGTCTTTAATGTTAGGATCGGATCGGACCGGACCGGAACGGAACGTATCTGATCTGATCTGATCGGATCTGATCTGATCTGATCGGATCGGATCGGACCGGACCGGACCGGATCGGTCATTTGGACCTCAGTTTGGTTTCTCTATCGCTGGGAAGATTTCTGCAAAAACTGAACATCAGGAGTGTCAAAGTTAGAAAGTTTGTCCAGATGGAGACGTTTTATTTTTAAATTACAAATGAATATTTTCCTGATTCGTCTTTCTGCTTGAAGCACCAGAATCTGCTTTTATTAAACTTGGTTAAACCAACAGGAAGTGTTTTTGCAGTGAGACCCAAATCCTGTTCACACTGCTGAGAAAAAACGTTTATTTCTCACTGAGCTCAAAACAATTTCAGTTTTTTATTTATGATTTCTGCTTCCCTTCCTGGCTTTTTTGTATTAAATTAATATATTAAATGTTTAGGCAGAAAAATTAAGAAAGTAACATTTTTGGACAGCAGTGCTGCTGAAAACAAAAAAATCTGTTTTTAATTCTGCTGTTTGATTTTATTTGGTATTAAAATTAAAGCTGAACATTATTTTCTTGTGTTTTTGCTGTCAGATGGGCTCCGGCCCCCAGCGCTCTGCGTTCAGCTCCGTCCCTGAAGCAGAAGTTGTTCCACAGCTGGGTGGAGGCCCCTGAGGCCCCCGAGGCCCCTGAGGGCCCCGAGGCCCCTGAGGGCCCCGAGGCCCCTGGGCCCCCGCCGCTACACCTGGACATCACACACACTCCCAGCGCGGAGGAGCTGCTGGCCCACCGAGTTCTGCAGAGCCTGGAGGAGGAGAAGGCCGAGAGCAGGAGGTAGTCATGACGACGGCCTGGTTCTGGTTCTGTTGACTTTAGTTTTCAGTTTCTGACCTTGTCAGAACCGTGAGACCTTCCAGGCGGTTCTGTTTGGGTTTCCTGGTTCTAATCTGGTCGGATTGATCTGTGGAGGAAAACGTTTATTCCTGAATCTCCTCCATGTTGATCAGTTCTGTTGTCATGGTAACGCTCTCTGTGCAGGAGTCTGGATCAGCTGCAGCGCTGGCTGGACGGCGACCCGTTGGACCACCTGGCGACGCCGCTCTTCATCCCGTCCTCCACCCTGCTGTCCTCTCCGTCCACCATGCGGGTTTCTGCACCTGCAGCAGCAGCGCAGGTTCTTCTTCTTCTTCTCCTTCTTCTTCTTCTCCTTCTTCTTCTCTGGTCACTTTATGCACATCTTTAATATTTCACAGTTGTTTTTTTAGTTTGTTGTCGTTTTGGTTTTCCAGAAACCAGAGACGGAGGAGCGAGTGGACAGAGCGTCCCGGTCCGCAGCGTCCCGGTCCGCAGCGCCGCACGTCCCTCTGGCCCACAGGCTGCAGCAGCTGCAGCAGCAGATCGTGGCGAGCAGAGAAGAAGAACGGGCCTGCAGGCTGAAGCTGAGCGGCCTGCTGAGCATCGTGGACGACTGAAGATGAGGAAGATGACGAAGATGGATTTTTATTATCAGAACTAAAATCAGGACTTTTATAAATATTTAGTTTTGTAGAGTCGGGTTCTTCCTGCATTGGACTCTAATAAATAATGTGTTTTATTTTCGTTCTGCTCAGATATTAAATAAATATTTTCATGTAAAACCTTCAGCTTGTCTTTCATTAAATCCATGAGAAGGTCGAGGATCTGATTGGACGGCCCGGCTGTAGCCCCGCCCCCATTCAGCTGAAGGCTGCTGGGAGACCCGGTTTCATCAGCAGAGCAGGACCCAATGTGTTCTGGATCTGCAGACATGACTGAAGACGTGAATATTTCACTTTTCACTCTGGACCAGAACCGGGTCATATGGTTCTGTCAGACAGGAAGTTAAAGAAATAATTTTCAGTCATCTTGTGTAAATGATTCAGATTTGACTGAAGACTGAATGTTTTACTGATGTTTTGAAGCCATTTAAATTAAAACATGGTTTAAATTGTGATCTTACTGATTACTCTTTATGTAACGGTGTGGAAAACCAGACGCTTATCGAATAACTCTGTGCATTTATTTAACGTAGCACATCAAATACAACTAACCGGACGAGCACAATTAATGTCATTAAATAAACTCCAGAAAATAACAAGCATAATGTAAAATTATATACTGAATATTTTTACTTTGAAAATAACGTTAAGACCTTTACTGGCAGGAATGGTTACATTTATGGTCTCACTGCATTTTCTACACAGAAGCTCAGATCCTTTTGCAAAAGTTTTCTTCTACTTCTTTGCTTTAGAAAAAATATTTCAATGGAATGTACGACATTAATGGAATAATGTTCAGTAGTGTTCCTGTTAGGACAGAGATATGTCTGTATTTTCCATCCGTATCCATGCTGAGAAAACAGGAAGGAGCAGACAGTAGATGTTTAAGCAGCAGTCTGGCTGCAGATGACAGGACAAGAACAACATTTAGGCTCTTTTGCCCTGGTCTTTGTTTTCCAACCCTTAGTGAGCCACAGCTGGGCAAACCATTGAATGCAGGACTGCAAAGTGAGATGGCAAACTGAACTATCAGTGAGCCATTAAACCTCTCTGTCACATGTGAGAGGTCTCACTATTATTTATTTTTGTAGGTTAAACTGCTGTATTGAGTTTCAGACAAAGTGTGTGTGAAAATATTGGTCCACTGAGACTTCCCTGAAAAGCCTGATCAGGGTTGCATTTACCTGCAGTGAGTCAGAAACCGACTGGCTTCTCTGAGAATATCGTCACTGGAAGTACTGGACTTTGTTCTGATGTCTGTACTTTACTGCCTGTAAGTATTGGCTTCTTTACTTTTATGTTGACATTTTGTTTGGAGCTTCTTCTGCCTAAATTTATTTTGTAATTATGTTATTTATATAAATTATATTACTTTCAGCTTTAAAATACCAGTACATGGACATTATATTTTTTGCCTGTTTGACATTTAAAATATTAAATCAGATCCTCCAATCTAATTTATTCCATGCTTAAAAATGACTATTTAAACTCCCAAAAGTATTCTGATTTGTGCTTTTATGTTGATGCTGTAGGATTCTGGATCACCAATAACATTTGAACTTAAGTATCTAGCTTAAGTTTTTGTTTTAGTTCAGTTTGTGACACAGCTGGAGTTGAACTTTTGATAATGGGCATATTTTTCACTCTTCACCTTAATTCTGTCTTCCAGCACAGGAGCCCTCAGTGGCAAGAAAAGGACAATAATTTTAATGCATTTCTGAGAATTTATTCATGTATTTCAGTTTATTACAGGTCTTAACACACATCAGTTGGCAAACATCATAAATTAAAACGTGTCGTGTCACAGGACTGTGTTCCTCTTTGCATCAAATTACAGTAGACACTCATGTTTCACTGCATCTTCATCAAAATGTCACCATTTACAAAATTAAACATTCATTGTTTTTTTAGAAATATAAAAAAATTGCGAGTATAATCACCAGAGCAATGGGATGCATAATAAAATACTTTTAATTAATTATTGTATAGATGAGAGAAAAATACAAAAAGAGATTTTCAAACTTTCTCCCTTTAGAATGAGTTAAATATGTCAAGTCAAGAATAAGACACCAGGTAAAACATTGAAACTTAGTGCAGTTATCAGTTTTTAATTTAAGGCAGTTTGATAAATGGATTTGTGAGTTGCTGAATGTTTGCAACCCTTCTTTTCATAATAAAATAAATAAAAAAGAACCTTGGTTCTCAAAAGACAAACTGTTTTTCATAGCATTTAAGTTTGACAACAAAAATCTCAACTTAAAAATAATTTTAAAAACCTTCTAAGAGCATCAGGAATGTGCCAAATGTATACTGTTACTGAAATGCAGTCTGTTTCAGCAACATTAAAGGAGCCCAGATGGTCCCACAGAAACCCTACATAGACAATGAAATAATAAGCATCACAAACATCTTTTTTTATCCTCTCGACATAGATAGATTGTTTTTACATTAATAAAAGATTAAATTTTCTGGTCCACAGCAGAAAACAGAAACCTGTGTTGACTGACCTTATAAAAACTGACAAATAAACATCCAGAAGCTCTTAAAATATTAAAAACATAATAATCCAAAAAAGTTGTGATCCATTTTTGATCACAACTTAGTGAGAAAGTTTTTCCAGTTTAAAGGGGTTCAGTATGATTATGTTCTGGTTATTTTCATATCTTGATTTATTGCCAGTGAATGTTTTGTTTTTAAGTATTTAACCATAGTTCTGAGATTCTTGGTTGGATTTGATCAAATGAAAACATATCCCTATTTTAGCATTAATATGATCAAATTCATGGTTAACAGTCTTGAATTTCAGCGAGGCTCTTTAACCCTTTCAATGCCAAGAGCCAGAGGGCCTTTCATAGAGAAACCAATGAAAAATGACACCTTCCACCCATCTAATCCACTAATCTGACTTCTGAACAATGGAATCACTTCCAGTCTCAGACCTTTACAGTTATCTGCCAGTATCACGCTGCCCTTCACACGACCTATGACCCTTTTAAGAAGGTCTCTCACTTTCTCATCTTTCCATATTTTGCCATTTCTCCACTGAGACACAAACTGTTCCTCTGTCCCTGTGATGCAACTTTGGATTGCTTTTATTTGCAAAAGTTTCTCGTAATTGCTCTTTTTTCCCAACAGGAAATGGACAATTGGACGCTTGCCATTGAAGACTTCCTCCATCTGATCAAAGTAGGAGGTCTTCAGCTGTGAGATGCATGGCCCCAGCTGAGTATTGACTTCATGTTCTGATGTTGGCCACAAAAGCACAACTGCAATGAAGAACAGTGAGAAATCCTCCTCTGGCTGATGTGTCTCCTTTAGAAGTGCAGAAAGGACTCTAAGGAGGTGTTCGTATGGCACAGCAGCTGATTTTGGTTGGACACAGCCTAACACAAGGTTGGCATAAATCATATTGATTATTTCTACTGTTTTTGGGTTGTGCTTAGACTGGCAAATAAAATTATACTGCCTAGCAATTTCCTTGATCTTTTCAGTTGAGATGTCTTTTGTGAGACAATCTAGAATCCCAGAGAAGGAATCGGCTTTTTCTTTCTCTAGGAACTGTCTAGCCTGGTGGGGTTGCAGGTTGAAATTGTTCTTTTTCAGAAGATGTTCAGATTTTATCTCGCAGAAAGCCTGTGTGTACCTGTCAAAACACCCAGAAATTTCCTTTCGAGCTACTTGCTCCCGATTGTTCTTTACTCCGGTTATGGTACCAAGATTCACCTGCATTCTGTCAAGGTGGTCAAAGTTAAACTTCATCCTTTTCTTAAGGTTGCAAAGCATATCCTCAAACTGTTGAAGAATCTCATAATAGGATCTGTTTTTGTTGTACTGGGGATTCTTTCTTTTTAAGCTCTCTATTGTAATATTTCCAGAGAGGAACTCGCTCATTATGTCGCGTCGAACATCATCAAGAGAAGGCACAGGGGTTTTTTCCAACAAGCCTAAGATAAGAACTCCAACCTGGATTTCTCCAAGAAACCCCGACATGTTGATGTGTTGATTGTTTGTTTTGATCTTATTTCTGTAAAGGGATTCCTTCTTAGCCAGGGCTTGTGTTTTCCGAAACGCTTCCATTGCTGACTGGGCCATTTTGAGAGCAATTTCCAATTTCTCTGGGCTCATGAACTCTCCTTCCTTGCAGTTTGAAATTTCATTCTTTAGCTCATGCTTAAAAACTTGTGCTGATGTGTCTGCAATATAAGAGTTACCTTCGGAAAGTCCCATGGCTTCTTTTGCCCAAGCTTTTGCAACAGTGAAATCCTTCTTTTTCAAATAGTAGTATCTGGCCAACAACTGAGAGACAACAGCATCATTCTCTAATCTTTTTGCTGCATTTGTCAGCACAATCTCTTCCTGTCCAGGTGTTTCTTCTGCAATTTGTTGAATCAGAAGAGAGAACTGAGAAACCTCCTCAGGTGAAGAAAATCTTTTCACTAAAATATCATGCACATATTGAAAGAGATTGTCTCTGCCTTGGGTATATTCATACAGCTGGTCTGTGGTCAGCAGAAACTTAGTAATTTTAGCTTTTGTGACTTTGTGCGTTCTTCTTATTTCCTCCAAGCATTGCCTTGCAATGATTGAGTATCTTATTTGTACTGCTATGTACTTAACCTTATCTTGATCCCAGCAGAAGGAAATGAAACTGGAAAATTCCCCAAAGACATCACCAATTCTGAGATCTCCACAAACAGGGACTGAATGACCCAAAACATCTAGACATAGAGACCAGGAAAGTGATGAGTACTTACAGTAAACTCTCAACAGAACCAAAACTGCAAAGAGTTGTGCATTCTTTTTGTCCATATCGAAGTTTTTCAGGGTGTTCCTTACCACCCCTTCGATATATTCTGCATTGAAGTTCTCCTTCATAATCATGAAGCCATAAAAAGTTTCAAAGTCACAGTGTTTTTCTTTTATTTCCTTAAGTTTTACCTCAAACAGTTTTAGTTCTTTGTCAGAGAGATTGTTCCCAATGAACACATCGTCTGTTGTTAGTTCGGTCACTGCATTGGACTCTGACCTCATGCAGTTCAGGAGGATGACCTTTGCAGCCTGGATGTCTTTTTCAGTACACTGTGTTTCAATTGCAAACTGTAATTCTTCAACCTTCTCCATGTCCTCAAAGTCATCGATCATCAGCAGTACAGGACCCCTTGGTGTTTGCTCATCATATTGATACATTAAAAGTTGGATCACATGATCAGCCACAGAACTAAAGTC